AACAGATAATCATACTAACTGCACAAGGCCTTGCTGCTTTGTAGCCAGAACAGCCAGAACACCTGCTGCTGATTACTGTTAGAAATTAAAGACAGACAGAATGTTTCAGTGTAGGAGGGTCTAGTGTCTCAACCATGTCCTGTAAATTGTCAAACAGCAACACTTGAGCAAGTGAACTGGGATCCCAGCCTGGACTTAGGTCTGCAGGTTTGGGCATACTGACTGCCCCTCTTTGCACAAAATAATTTGATTTTTCAATGAACACTTTCCATCACCACAAGCTACACTCCAGGCATGGATCAGAAAAGCCCATTTACTGAGCAAAAGATGGAGTTATACTTGGGAGATTAACTCCCATTTTCAGGAGAATCTGATTTTTTTTTTTTTCCTTATAGAAAGTGAGTTAATTTAGTTTTTAATCTATGCAAACTATGAGGATCATCTTCCAGATATGACCCGACTATAAACTGGGGTAGTACTATACTGGGAGGTTTGGCAAGGGATGGCACCAATACTACTTTTAGGAGGAAAAGTGGGGTAGGATTCTTCAAAGGCTCTTTGAGTCTTTTACCTGCTGGAAGAGAAGTATCAGTCAGATGACATGTAAGATCAGGTATGTATCGACCTACTACTAACACCTATACATGAGTGTTTGTCTTCAGCATGAGGATTAAATTCAGAAAGGCACATACCTAGTGAGCACTAGTAGTCCATCTCCTGCATGTGTCCCAAACATGTAGGGACACTTTCAGAGCCCAAAAAGCAGTCTGTGCAAAGATGGCTAGAAACCTCTAGTGCCTCTGGGGCAGCCCTGGAGACATGTTCAAGCAACACCACCAGAAGTCATGCAGGGCATTTGTTGTCATTTTTCTTCATAAGGTCTGTAAACCATGATCTAGAAACACACACCCTATTTCATCATCCCAGTACAAAGTTGTGTCCTTTCTGTCACCATAGGACAGGGATCTTTATCCTTTTGAGACAAGGCTATCAACTTCTTACAGCAAGGCACTCATATTTCAGAAACAGAGTCAGCACTACCCCATGATTAGCATCCAGATTACCTTATATGAACCATTACTCAGGAGTAATATTTGGGTTTAGAGTTCAAAGGTGTCCTGGCTTTAGCTTTAACAGTTATTTTTCTCCCTCTTAGTAGCTGGTGCAGTGCTGTGTTTTTGACTTTAGTCTGGGAACAGTGCTGATAACACACTGATGTTTTTAGTTGTTGCTAAGTAATGCTTACTCTGATCAAGGACTTTTCAGTCTCTCATGCTCTGCCAGGGAGGAGGGGCAAAAGAAGCCAGGAGGTAGCAGAGACAGGACACCTGACCCAAACTAGCCAAAGGGGTGTTCCATACATGTCATGTGCAGTATATAAACTGGGGGCAGTTTCCCAGAAGGCCCAGATTACTGCTCAGGTCAGGCAGGGTATGAGTTGGGGGATGGTAACTGTATTGTGCATCACTTGTGTTTGTTCTTTTTTTTTCCTTTCCCCTTTTAGTTTATACTCTCTCCCCTTGTTATTTCCCTTATCATTATTATTATTGGTTGCAGGAGTAGTGGTTTTGTGTTATACCTTAGTTAGTGGACTGTTCTTATCTCAGCCATGGAGAGACCGCTATCCAGCTGTGTGGATTGATGCAGATTTTGACTTGTCCTGAAGGTACAGTCAGAAACTTACACAGGTGCTTCATTCCATCATTGTAATTCCTTTCTAGCATCAATTAGCAAGAAATTCGCTGTGTTGCCTTCAGGACCACAGAAGGCAAAAGCAGACTGGCACATTGTTTCAGCTTTAACTAACACAGTAAAATCTGGTCAACTGATCACCCTAGAGGAACTGATGATTAGAAATAATTACCCATCATTCATTTACCTGCACCCAGACGTGTGATTTTACAGATACAATTTCATTCCATATTGAGGCATAGAATTTTATGTTCAAATTTGTAATAATACAGTGTTTCTGTCGACATGAAATCCTGTCTGTAATTTGCACACTGTCTATTTCATGGGATGATTATACAGGTTAATGCTTATGGTACACTTTGTTAAAAAATGATTCAGAGCACTCAGTGCTTAAGAACTACTGTAAATGCTTCAAAAAAGAAGTGAAATTATCAGAGATGCCTGCTCTGTTTTCATAGATGCAGTCATCACCAAAACAGATTGTCCTGGGTTCAGCAGTAGCAGTCATGTTTCTCCTTCTTGGTAGCTGGTGCAGTGCAGTGTTTTGACTTTCAGCCTGGGAACAGAACTGATAACAAGGATGTTTTGGTTTGGCCAAGGACTTTGTGAGCCTCATGCTCTGCCAGGGAGGAGGGAAAGCCAGGAGGAAGCAGAGACAGGACACCTGACCCAAACTGACCAAAGAGGTATTCCATACCACAGCACATCATGCCCAGGATGTAACTGGGAGTTAGCCGGAAGGGCTGGGAGACTGCAGGGTTGGAGGAGGTATCGGTCAGAGCTTGGTCGGGCTTGGGGGGCGAGTTATTGGTCAGCTGGTGCTGAGGTGTTGTATTCTCTTCCCTTGTTATTTCCTTTATCATTGTTATCACTGGTGGTAGCAGTAGTGATTTGTGTTATACCTTAGTTACTAAACTGTTCTTATCTCAACCCGTGGGAGTTGCATTCTTTTCGATTCTCCTCGCTGTCCCTCCGGTAGTAGGGGGAGGGAAAGAAGGGGGGGGGGGGGGGGGGAGGTGTGTGAGTGAACGAGTTACCTGACTGGGTTTAAACCACGACAGTTCTTTTTGGCACCCAACGTGGGGATCGAAGGGTTGAGATAACGACAGATCTGACTGGATTAATAGTCACTGGTCACAATGCTGATTTATTGGCTCTCAGAGTTGTTCTTGTTGATCTCACAGCTTCAGACCGTTGTAACTTACTTAGAGCCGGTATTCACTGTGTTAGTGTTTATCATGTGTGGGGCCTGGGCTAAGGTTCTTGTCTCACTGTGCTTTATGGCAATGGCTTGTAATGCGCGTGGGCTCCAGCAGCAGGGCGGGACGGACGTGGCCGTGGACTTGTACCTGGCCGTCCGGCTGCTCTTCACCGTCCCGGCCCTCACCCTACTCTCCATCTTCGTGAGGCTGCGGGGAGCCGAGGGGGAGCGGCCCCGGGAGCTGGCGGCAGCCGAAGCGGCTCAGGAGAGCGGCCCCGGGGATCAAGCGGCGGCGGGAGCGGGGCCGGAGGCCGCGAGGGGACGGCTGCCGGTGGAGGAGGTCGGGGCCGTCGAGGAGAGGAAGGAGGCGGCTGCCGCGCAGCGGGAGAAGGCGGCGGAAGAGCCGAGCCCCGCGGCCGAGCTGAGCCCCGCGGAGGAGCCCAGCCCCGCGGAGGAGCCGAGCCCCGCGACGGCCGAGAGCATTTCCCGGAAGCCGCCCGCCGAGCCCCAGGAGGATGCAGGAGACCACGCAGCATTTCCCAGCAAGGCAGAGGAGGAAGAGCTGGACTCAGGAAAAGAGAAGCTGGCGGTGGGAGAGCCGGCAAGCACAGCAGCTACACCAGCCCCAGTGACAAGTACAGCAGCATCAACTGAGAGTTCTGAAGGTTTTGAACGGCCTTTGGGTATCCTTGGGACCTGCCTGCTGATTGTGATGGGGATCAGCATGTTGGCACACACACAGAGTGTGTGCTACCCACAACCATTTTGTCTGATCTCAAAAGTTAAGCAGAGTCAGGTTTGGGTCTTGTCTGGGGTTAGATGACAATGCAGGGTGACCAAGAGATTTTCCCCAAAGCTGGACAGTCATGAGTGGCAGGGTGTGTGTGACAGTATGGGCAAGTATCTAGTCCACTGGGCCCCTCCAGTGCTTTGGAAGCATCGGAGATGGAAGGCAGCTGTATGGAGTCCCCAGCAACAAGCTGCAGAAACTGCTTAAGGGGACAGTGAATTATTTTAAGCCTGGTGGGCCCATGGCACTTCAGGCCATCAGAGCAGAGATGCAACACAGAGATGGACTCATGATCGAGGGGTGGACTTAGCAATGGACACTATTGCCCAGGTTATTCATGAGTGTGAACACTGCACACAGCCTCTCCTGCTCTGGAAGACTGTTACAAGAGATGGAGCCTGACATGGACCAGATGGACACAGCAGCTTTATAGCTACTGGTCCATGCACTAAGATAAGAGTGATGGTATATTGAAAATGTGGGATCTCAGCATGACGTGAATGGTATGGAATAAGGGGTGGATAATGTCCTGGGTTCAGCAGTAGCAGTCATGTTTCTCCTTCTTGGTAGCTGGTGCAGTGCAGTGTTTTGACTTTCAGCCTGGGAACAGAGCTGATAACAAGGATGTTTTGGTTTGGCCAAGGACTTTGTGAGCCTCATGCTCTGCCAGGGAGGAGGGGAAGCCAGGAGGAAGCAGAGACAGGACACCTGACCCAAACTGACCAAAGAGGTATTCCATACCACAGCACGTCATGCCCAGGATGTAACTGGGAGTTAGCCGGAAGGGCTGGGAGACTGCAGGGTTGGAGGAGGTATCGGTCGGAGCTTGGTTGGGCTTGGGGGGCGAGTTATCGGTCAGCTGGTGCTGAGGTGTTGTATTCTCTTCCCTTGTTATTTCCTTTATCATTATTATCATTGGTGGTAGCAATAGTGATCTGTGTTATACCTTAGTTACTAAACTGTTCTTATCTCAACCCGTGGGAGTTGCATTCTTTTCGATTCTCCTCTCTGTCCCTCCGTCCCTCTGGGAGTAGGGGGAGGGAAAGAAGGGGGGGGGGGTGAGTGAACGAGTTACCTGACTCGGTTTAAACCACGACACAGATAAACAAAATTTGCCAAGTGGAAGAATTGTTTGCTTCTATCTTTCAGAATCAAAGAATCCTGAACAGTATTACAAAGGTTTAAGACTATCAGTTACCTCACAAATATTATAGAATATAACCAGATCATCACACTCATTACTGGGACTACCATAATTTAAAGGTTTTTTTGCACTCTTCTAATAAAGTAGTTTAATTCGAGTAGATAAGGCCCTGAGATTTGACATTTAAATACTTCCACTACAAAGATGAACATTAAGTTCATATGAACTAGTGACATAGAGCAATTTAAGGCTATTACATTTTTGCTAATGAAGCAATCAGTAATGGATTTAGTTTCAACAAATTGCTGGACTGATATCAAAATACCCAATTTAAAAACATTTCTCAGCCTAGAGTTTGTAAGTTTTTAAAAAAATAAAATCTTGGATTTTCTCTCATTCTGATCCAGCATTTTGCCTCCTCTTCAGCTTAATCCAGATGCCATTATTCGGGCGAAGAATCAGTCCTCCAGTTATACCAAGCTCTTCCGGCTTTTGACATGACTCCACCCAAAAGCGGCGCAAGATGAGAGCTAGAAGAGCTTTCTCCTCCATTTGTGCAAAACGCTGACCTACAAATTACAGGGCAGTAAAAAAATAAAGATGCTATTGTCAGGTTGTACCAACAGTTGCTGCATTTGCATGTTCACAGTGATACTCCATGGAACACAGGACAGCAGGAACTGTGCCTTGAGAACAGAACTTGATTTAGGTCAAAACTAACTGCTCAATCTAGTACTTTTCCCTGCATGACAACTCTGGCCTTCCTGGGATAATTCACAGCACACCTTCCTTCCCTTAGTACACAGAACTGAAACAGCACAGTCAGCACTTTACATGGAACTAATACAAAACACAGCCTTGTCATGTCTCTTGGATGGACTTGATAGGAGGGAATGAATGCAGGAGAAGATACAGCACAGGGACTGTGAGAAGAGACAAATCCATATTTGCAGAGGAGCAAAGGAGATACAACTCCAACAGAAAGATATACTCTCCTTCAATAAACACTAAGCATCACACAGATCAGTGATTTGATAACACAGAGGGCAAAGTTCATTTTACACTTCAGTGAAAGGTGGAGAAGGAAAAGGGAGAACAGAGAAATGTGAGGGAAAGCAAACAGTGTCACCATAATCCAGGCAGCTCCAGGCAGCTCATTTAAACTACACTGAAAATAGCATCAGGACACAAAACTCAGTACTCAAAACTTTTTCTGTTCTCCCTTCTGTATAAGATGCACAGATGGGTATCTGTACATATGTACACAGTGATTTATTACTGCAATGATATTAGTGAATCACCTCTCCTACACATGTTCCTGTACACCCAGGAACTAGCTAAACACGTAAAATTAGACTCTTCTTTGAAACATGGGAAGATCTAGTCTGCTGTTTTTATGGGAAGGGTACCTCCTCCCAGTGAGCCTCATTAAAAATAAACAAACTCCAACAACCCCACTCCCCAAAAAAAGAAAACAAAACAAAAAAAAACCCAGAAGAAATCGGATTTCTTGGTTTGCAAGTGGCATGACAATTGCTGAATGTTCCCCACCTGCACTTAAGATCAGTGAAGGGAAAAGTCTTTTCATGTGTCCTGCTGTATTAGTAACAATGCCCCTACTCTGAGCTCAGACAAATGCCAAGTATCTCAGTGCCACCTGAAGAGCTAACGAGTTCTAGGATGCCAGTGAAAACAACAGAGCAACAATGGTGTCAGAAAGGGGGAAAGAATACATCAGTTGCAGACTGCATCTTTGGGACACCCAGCTGAACATGAGATAAACAGATGAGTTGTTTACAGAGCAAAGCAAGAGCAGGAGATTTGCCTTCCCTTGCTCTGTCTTGCTGGCACTGAGAATCAGAAATTTGGAAGCAATCCTATCCTAACACAGGAGCCCATTAACATGCTTCCAAGCTGCACAGGCAGTGAGGATTTAAAATCAGCATGACAGACATTGGCCCTGGGAAGAAAGGAAACCCTGGGGAAGAACCAATGTGGCAGCTCAAGCACCAGGCTTGCAGGAAAGACACTGCCCAGAATTTGGGCTGGGGCTGAAGCAGCAGCCTGGGGGAGAATAGGACATAAGCAGCAGGCACATCAAAACTTACATTTCTCATACACATGCTGCTGCCAGTTACCATGCTACACACTGCAAGTGTTTCTCCTTCAGTACATACCAATGCAGTTCCTGGGACCAGCTGAGAAGGGCACATAAGCATATGGGTGCCTTCCCTTGCAATTTTCAGGCAAGAATCGCTCAGGCTTGAATTCCTCTGGGTCAGGGAAGATCTCAGGGTCTCTATGCAAGGCATAAGTTATAACAACAACATTTGTGCCTTTCGGTATTTGATATCCTCCTAAAGAGAAAAGGGAAAGGGTTAAAACAACAGCAAATAAGTGACTTTCTATATACAATGGCACAATAAAAAATAAAACAATGCTGATATTTACTTGGGAAATACTTTGGGTTGATGCTAGCAGGATAGGACTGGCAGACTCAGGACACTACTTACTAATAGAGCAATCCTCTCTCAAGGCACGGGCAAACAGTGGAACTGAAGGGAAGAGCCTAAGGGCTTCTTTCAAAACACACTCAAGGTATCGAAGCTCCTTCAAATCATCCACTGTAACAGGACGCTCAGTGTTGCCTGTCCAAAAAGAAATAGAAGGATGAACAAGACCAAAAATCCCCATTTTTTGGTTCACAAAACTCATTCCAGCTCCCTCCAGGATCTCTCATCATGCACCAAGACCACATAGAAGGTGATACACACTGACTAAATGTACATGCCTTGCCCCAAAGACATAAAGTTGGTTGTACTCTCCTACAGACCTTCTGGCACACATCCCAATCACCTCTAGCTATTGAAAGCTCCAGAAGTGCCCCAAGACATGTTCCTACCTCCCCTTCTACATCTAGGTTTATAATGTAACATATCCCCACTCACAAAGGCAACCACCACCACAACCACAATGAAGGGGGAAACAGAAACATACCAAACACCTCATCCAGTTCTTTGTGAACCTTCTTCTGGGCTTCAGGATTATGTCCAAGTAAGTACAGGGCCCAATTCATACCAGCTGCTGTTGTATCATGGCCCTAGAAGTCCAGATTTACAAAAAGACATTAACTTCAACACCATTCCTGTGTACAAGTTTTGTAAATACCTACATACCAAGTAGAAAATGGTAGAAAGTGACAATTATTAGTCTCATGACCACAAAAAAACAAGACCAAAACAAGAGGGTAGAATTCTACCCAACATGCTGATTATCAGGATGTAAGACAACCCATGATTCTGTCACACTGAAAACTGAACAAAAGGGAAAAGTGCTGAAATTACCCAAGCAAATGAACCTCTCCTCTGCCTTCCACAAGTTACATGAACCATCAGTATATCTACACAATGAAACAGATGTATACACACATTTTGATTACCGAGGGGCCAAAGACTACCACAGGAGAAATACAATAGACACAATCTGTAACCCTTACAAAATTATCCAAAAGAGGGTCTAATGAGACACAGTACACTGACCATAGGAGGGAATACTTTTTCATCTCCTATGAGAAGTGGATCAGCTATTACTGTTCTCAGCACCTCATAAAAACTTGGAAAGGAAACAAAGGGAAGAGGAACCAAGAAAACGCAAACAAACACCAAATCAAATAAACACACACACACAAAAAAACAAACAAAACCCAAAACCAACCAACAAACAAACAATCAAACAAAACCCCCAAAATGCAAAAAAAAAAAAACACCAAACAAAAAAACTGGAACAAAAAAGGGAAAAGTTAACCAAAAAGGGTTTTGGTTCTAAAAAGGCAGACTTCCTGGGAAGTTCAAGATGCTTGCACCTCTTCAAAGTCCAGCTACAGACTAGTACAGGAAAGTTAAGATATAACCTACAGAAGCTCTCTTCCCATCAGCAGTAATACGACTCTGAATTAAGGTCTTCTGAGATGGAATGCAGGTCCACATAATGGAGGTGTGTGCAAGACTTGTGAAAGTCTTGTTCAGATCCTTCACTGGACAGGGAATGAGACGTGAGAAGACAGTACACCAATCCACAGTCGATGACAGAACCAGGAGGTTACAGTCAACATGACAAGGAACAAAGTGTGAGGAGAACTGACAAAATGCAAGGCAAAACACTAAAACCATTTAGAGCTCTCTTTCACATTAATAAGGTTTGTAACAGGAGCTGAGAACCCATGGCCCACATCAGCTATTAAGCTCTCACTACTCACCTGCTATCATGAGTAGAGCCTGCTCACACAGGCAGGGCCTGCCACATATATATTGTCCAACATTTTGCCAGGGTACTGGATCAAATGTTTCTATCCTTTGGTAGTTTCTATCCTACAGAGATTTCCTCTTAGGCTTCCAGGGCTAAAATTACTTCATACTAAAAGCAACCTCCTGAACTAAGGAAGAGTCAGTACCTGCAAATGGTGAACCTCAGGATCTCAGGTTCTGGGGAGAGATCAAAAAAAAGGGAAAAAAAAAAAAAGAAAAACACCAAGGCAAAATCCCCCACAAACAAACAACCCCCCTCCCAACCAACAAATCAACGGGTTCCTTGGGTACCTCAAACATGAAAGTATCCACTTCCTCACGAATATCATTGTAGTCCAATTTGTTCCCTTCCTCATCTGTTGCATTCAGCAGCATGTCTAGGAAAGCTTTTCTCTTTTTGGACCCACTTTCTTCACAGCTGCCATCAGTATCATATTTCTTTTGCTTGACATTTTCAAGTTCTGCAACTTTTTCTGCTATGACCTGAGATTAGAACCATTGAATTGGATATGATACATGCAGCACATGTGCAGTCTACATCACACAGGTTTGTCCTAACACTGAACAGCCTTTGTGAGACCAAGAAAATAGATTGTCAAACCATGAAAATAACTCATTGATCATCAAGTAGTGTAAACACATCCAGAAAATCTGGAACAAGCCAATTGTGAAGGCCAACATTACTGACAGCAAATCACAAAATATCACCATGATTTGAACAGACTTACCATGAAGAAGACAGTCTCTATCCAATAACTAAGGAACGGATGACAGACTGAAGAGAAGCCAGGACACTCCACAACCCTACATCTGGACTACACATAGTATAGCTGGAACTACTATACTAATGCTTCTCAACTTCTCTTCAGTATGATAGCAATGCTTGAACTTCCCTTTTTAGGTTGAAACACAGCCCCAGTGACAGAGATTTCATGCTGTCACCACCACTGTCATAACAGCAGAACAAAACCCTTCAATAAACTGGCATTGCTCTCAGCAACTACAACATAATTTAAAAATAAAGGCTGTAGAGTATGTAATTCTATTCAAAGAAAGCACTGAACAGGAAAAAAAATTACTGTTATATACACACACAATGTTCTCCTCACTGAACATATACATATAAAGACACATCTGAACCACCTTTTGTCTCAGTGATACATTAGGTGATATTATTTACTGCTCCCTTGTTTTCTAAGGGATATTAGTATTTACTGCTCCCAAATTTTCTAAGATTTGGCTTCTTATATCAGTGCACCAACCCATCATGGAAAGAAAGCGTTACCTCAGGTCCCTTCAAGAGCTTCCCTTGTGGCACACTGCTGCAATTCCCATTAAAAAGAAGCAAAACATGAACTACTCAAAAACAATGCAATGTGGATCATTATATGTAGTGAAAATTCAGAGATTATTTCCTTTGTTGTGGACATTGATAAAATGACATTGTGGGATACACACATCTCTTTCAAGGAAAGCAGCTTCTCTGGTAACATTTTAACAGTAGATTTGGGAAGGCAACCATTGCCAAGAATAGCATGGGAATTAATTGGTGAGAGAAAGGAGTGTTACATGCACAGTCCAATATGGTGATAGAATGCTGCATTTTATGCCAAGTCAGTGATATATGCTTAATGGTTTTTGTGTCAAAGCATCTTACTGCTGATGTGGGGACCTCCATGTGTTTGCTCATCTCAGCAGTTCTCCTCTAAATAGGGGAAAATGAATACAGACTTCAATTTCTAAGAGCTGGATCAAGTGGTATTACCACACAGAACCCTATGCCTACCGCTACAGACTTGGCAGTGAGCTGTTGCAGGCAATTCAGTTGTGGAGGATCTGGGGCAGAAAAAGAGTTCAATGAATTCAGGTTGTTTGTTTTGGTTGTCAAGGACCTGCAAGTCCTGTTACTCCCTTGGAGTTGTATACTCCTTTGCTTAAATACAACAGAGCTCCTGACAGCAAAGTCAGCTGTTGTCTTCCTTTCAGGGAATTCCTCAGCATCCAGAGAGAGTGTTCGCCTTTTAATATATGCATATTAAGGGAGCTGAGCCTCACTATCATTCGGAAACTCTACTGGGTACAAGTCTTCATTCCAACAACTAAAATGTACCATTAAAAAAAAAATCTATACCGCATCTGTAAAATTGTGAAGGCTCTTGAGGTTCTTCTCATGCTCTCTTCCTTCCTTGAACAGCGAATATACAAGATCAGGCCAAAGCCATGGGCTCATCTGTCGCTGTTGGATTAGATCACTCATCCTAGGGACACAATAATTACATCATGGAACATTCCTTGGCCAAAAAAAAAAAAACCCAAAGCCAAATTTACAGAACACTTTCAAGAACAAACAAACAAAAAAGTACTATTTCCCCCACTGAAGTGGAGCTTAAGACATTGCATGGGTTTAAACCCATTCATCTGAAGGGAAGGCTGTTCATATTTGTTTCCTGATTTTGTCATTTGTCCCAGCATCACCATGATTTATATTGTTATGCATTGATCTCTGAGAGTGTGTTCTCATTTAGTTGGAATCCTCTTGAAACAGACATGTTCAGCTCTCCAGTCCAGTCCTACTCCACATCAGTAAAGCATTGATCATGATGAAAAAGATGCATACATCCTGAAAATACTACTCATGTCAGGGAGGGTTCCAAAATATCTGCCCCAAGATCTCAAACAGCCCTCTGAATGCATTATATTTCTACTTGACTGTCAGATAATACATATGCCAAACAGCAAATGGAAAGTACTTAAAGAATATGAAAATTCAAGTATTCTCAAACAGAACGGGAGTATATTTGGAAGGGCAGATTGTCATTGCTATTCAGCTCCTGCACATACTTTTGGCTACAAAAAGAGACTTTGAGGAGTAATTATTAAATTTAGGCCAACTTCGGGCCCACAGTTTGGGAAAGACCAAGCAACCAATGACAATCAAACCCTCTAATTCTACCCCTTTTTTTGTTATACACCTGTCTCAACAAGACCCATCAAAGGCTAGGGGTGAGATCATAGAATTGTTTAGGTTGGGAAAGACCTTTAAGGTCATCCAAACTTTAGGAGTCCAACCACTAACTTAGCACTGCCAAGTCCACCACTAAACCACGTTTCTAAGTGCCTCACCTACACCTCTTCAAAGTACCCGCAGGGATGGTGACTCAACCACTTCCCTGGGCAGCCTGTTCCAGTGCCTGATGACCTTTTCAGGGAAGAAATTCTTCCTAGCATCCAATCTAAACCTCACCGGCACAATTTGAGGCCATTTCCTCTTGTCCTATTGCTTGCTACCCAGGAGATGACCCACTTCACAACCTCCTTTCAGGCAGTTGTAGAGAACAATAAGATCTCCCCTTCTCCCCGAGACTCTTTTTCTCCAGGCTAAACAACCCCAGTTCCCTCAGCTGCTCCTCATAAGACTTACACTCTAGAACCTTCATCGGCTTTGTTGCCCTTTGTCTGTCTTGTAGTGAGGGGTCCCAAAGTGAACACAGCATTTGAGATGCAGCCTCACCAGTGCCAAGTACAGGGGGATGATCACTGCCCTGCTCCTGCTGGCCACATTGTTTGTGACACAGTCCAGGATGCTGCTGGCCTTCTTGACTGCCTGGGCACAAGCTGGCTCATGTTCAGCTGCCAATCAGCACAGGAAGATAAGGGGAGTGGTGGTAGTAGTTTTTGAGTGTTTCATTTGTTTCTCAGGATTGGGATATTTACTGAGACTTGAGGGTATGAACTCAATGTTGCCTCTGTGTAGCAGCTTGTACTGAAATATAGTGTATTTTACTGAGGCTTGGAGCATTTTTGTGGAAGAACTGAGTTTGTGGCTCACAGCAGATGAACTCTTGACACCAGTAGCATCAACTCCAGCCCAACTACAAAGCAGCCAAGGAAAATGTCCATTTACCTGTAGACAGCACGAACATAATCAGAATCCTTATTCTCCTGAGCGCCCACATTCTTGCCCATTGCTGTTTCTGGGAGGAGGAAATCATCAATGGTTCATGAGTACAAAGTGGAATGCAGAGTCCCTGTACACAGTAAGTTACTACTGCTCTCAGGTTCTGATAGTCACCACTTTGTCCTTTGAGCAGGTGAATACACATATCCCTTTCCAGGTAATGAGCTTGCTTTATATTTACACTCCCAGGAACTCTGCTCCTCAACACAACCTCACTTCTGACTGCTACATCTGCCCTGCCCATCCCACACACTCACCTGCTCAGATGCACACCAAACACCCCAGGGAAAAGGATGGCCTTGGGAGGACAGAAATGCATTCACACAACGTGCAGCAACATTCCTCTTCAACTGTCTCCTCACAGGACACATGAGGCACAGATGTACTCATGAGTCCCTGCATCATTCACAGCCCCACCATATAAATGAAGAGGACTTACCACAGATGATATCAAGGGCACACAGAGTGATGTCCAGAAAGACATCAAATGGTTCCTTGTCAACATGTTTCTCAAGTTTCTCCAATAAAATAGTTCCTTGTTCATTCATAACCTCTAGGAAGTCAGTTAAGATTGTGAAGTGGAATGTGGGAGTTATCATCTTCCTCCGCAATCGCCACTTATCTCCAGTGCTGCAAAATTAACAAGGAGAAGGAAAGGTTAAAAACTCCAAGGCAAAAATAAAATCCTCATCATCACAGGAAGTATACAGTAAAAAAACTGCAGCCTGAAACACCTTCACAGACAGATATGCTGTAGATGGCTCTTCAAGTTGTCCATAGTACTTCCTAGAATAGAAATATTTCTTGCTCCAGCTCTCTTCAAAGCACAAACTACCATTTCTACAGCTGCTATCAACAAAAGGAGATGCCAACAAGCCTTCAGGCAATACAGCCTCTGGTTGCTCAGTGTATAGGCTCTTCTCTATAGAAGGATGGAGTAGAACTCATCTATAGGACAAACCAGCTATTTAGGATCAAGGCCTCAACTAACTGCATTGTCTCTGTGAATCACCACTCATGCAGCTCTTCATCCACTGACTAGGAAATGAGGATTGCAGAGAATTAAAGTAGTCCACAGGCATTACCCAACTGACTGCCTCAAGGTCTGGTTACTTTATATTTTGGTCCCATCACAAAGCACAAGGAGTTAATCTCTGAGGGCCCCAAACTGTCAACAAAGCTCCACTGCTAACAGGAGCACCTTGACCTTCTCATAAAAACACAGAAGAGGCACAAAGGCACCAGAGGCACTTTACACCAGAGGCACCTTGCTGACTCTTTAATATCTGCATCATCCAGACCAAACCCTACTTGACTATCCCAAGACCAGAGGACATCAAACCCTTACATCACTGCTCCTTCCTCTCTTCGCTCCTGACTTGCACTCTCACCCAGGCTCACCTCTTACAAGCCTTCACTTCATGAGGGAAATGAAAGACAGAGTTAAGATACTCTCTCATCTGACCCCAAAGTATCACCAGTCTCAGGCCCATCCTACTGGTTTGCTGTGCCACCAGCTGAGATAAGAAATGCACACAGTTGCAGTTCTGCCACAGTCCAACCACCTCATATACATCACAACATTCAAAACATCCAGCCCGTAGCACTGCAGACTAAATGACGCCACTTGCCATAGGATACAACCTCCCAAAATCCACATTCATTTCAAACCTCTGAAAACACAACAATGGCCAAATTTGCCAAGAAATACATTATGCAAAAGATTTTTTTTTATCAGACATTAGCTTCTAAACAGAAATCAAGACTACCACAAGGAATAAGAGTTCTACAGGTATCACCTCCATCTCTGTCTAGAGATACACAGAGCATTCCTGCCACCAAGTCCTCTTCATGTCATATACCCTACAGATTCCAAAAGGACACCAAGACACCTGCAATTCACTATACCTTGTCAGAAGTCCAGTGCCCAGCCAAGGCTGCAGGAATTTGTACATGTATGATTTTTCGATATGCTTCGAGCTGTTCAGAATGACCTGTCAAAAAAAAAAAGAGGAAGAAAACGTTACTTGTTAGATGGAGAGAGATTTCTGCAGCTAAGATTACTTCACACAAACTCAGTTCTTCCACAAAAATGCTCCAAGCCTCAGTAAAATGCACTATATTTCAGTACAAGCTGCTATATAAGGGCAACATTGAGTTCACACCCTTAAGTCTCAGTAAATATCCCAATCCTGAGAAACAAACGAAACACTCAAAAACTACTACTACCACTCCCCTTATCTTCCTGAAAAAGATAAATTTGTGTTAAACCCACAGGCAGAGCTCAGAGAAAACCTAATGTTTTTAGCTTTAACCAAACTCACAAGAAGTACTATCTTTTCAATAAACACTCCAACAAAGAAACAACTCTATCTTCCCAGTTCAAGGACAATCATTGTCAGTAACAAAACTAACAACTATATTTCATGCCATCAAGACAGACCCACCAAGTTCTAATGCAGTTAGACACAAGGCACTGCAACCTGCATTTCATAATGTCCTATCCCGATATCAGTGGTCCAGTCTTCCCTGGTGTTTGCTTCTCTGTTCTGATCTTGGGAGCAGAAGCTTTCATACAAAGCTAAAGGAGATGCTTCTTCATAAAAAACCTAGTGAGTTGGTGCTTTCATTTGCTGGCCATCTTCAGTATTTACTTTTTTTCTATGACTAGACTTTTTCTATTCTTCCACTTTCACCCTTTCTCTAGCACTGGCTCAAGGACCACCTCAAGTAAAATCAGTCCAAGAACAACTTTTTTTTTTTTTTTTTTTTTGCAAAAATTACATTGAGACAATAGAAACTAACATGTTGGACACTGCTTTGCATGTTAGTAGAATAGACAGAGAATAGACAGGAGACCAACTGTTGTGGTTTAAACCCAGTCAGGCAATTTGTTCACTCACTTGCCCCCCCTTCTTGCCCTCCCCCTGCTCCCGGAGGGACGGAGAGGAGAATCAAAAAGAATGCAACTCCCACAGGTTGAGATAAGAACAGTTTAGTAACTAAAGTATAACACAGATCACTACTGCTACCACCAATGATAATAATGATAAAGGAAATAACAAGGGAAGAGAATACAACACCTCAGCACCAGCCAAAAAATAACTCGACCCCAAGCCCGACCAAGCACCGACCCATACCTCCTCCAATCCCGCAGTCTCCCAGCCCTTCCAGCTAACTCCCAGTTACATCCCGGGCATGATGTGCTGTGGTATGGAATACCTCTTTGGCTAGCTTGGGTCAGGTGTCCTGTCTCTGTTTCCTCCCACCTTCCCCTCCTCCCTGGCAGAGCATGAGGCTCACAAAGTCCTTGGCCAAACCAAAACATCGCTGTTATCAGCTCTGTTCCCGAGCCGAAAGTTGAAACACTGCACTGCACCAGCTACAAAGGAGGAGAAAAATGACTGCTACTGCTGAACCCAGGACACTAGCACACTCACCTCCACACTGTCAGGGTGATACAAAACCACAACAGGCAATGGTCCTATCCAAAGTTTCAGCAATGGCGAACTCCTGAACTCTTCAACATAAGTTTGTAGCTGTTTAAAAAATCCTCAATGAAAAAAGCAGATTAGAATTTTTTTATAAAGGTTTTGCTGAATAAGCAAGACTTCTGTAATGAACTGTTTTTCACCATATGCCCTGTAATTATGTTTTTATTGTAGTTTTATCTTGCCACTATGACCAAGCAGTGTATTTTGCACCTAGCTATCAGCTCTACTGGAGAACTGTTTCTTTACAGCTACACCCTTGAAAGCACTCTAGAGAAACCTCTCCTAGCTGTAGATAAGGCAGCTTGATTTAAGCAGTCTCCAAGCACTGTAGCATGGGCTTTCTGTATTGCAATACTCTCTGTAACAGTTAAGAAACAAATCAAACTTTATCAAGGCTATGCTTAGATTTTGGCTTATCTGACACTAGCCAAAATGCTATATCAAGATACTTCTTTACTTTCCAAATACAGTGTCAAGCCTTTTCCCATCTGAAGCCTCATTGCCAGTACCACATTTGTGGTGCACATATAAGTGATGTCATGCACAGTAGTGGCAGAGCACTGCACATAAATCAGTATCACTTGAAATGTCTAGTTTCTGATAGCTGGACTCCAGAAGAAAATTTTTGGAGCCCTCTCACCAGCTTTTGACAGCTGGTTGCTCCAACTTAAACTCCACTCTTGTCCTTTTAGAAACCTTATTGAGGGTAAAGAGGGCCACTTATAGGGGCACTGTGGTTTTGGCAATTCAGATGTTCCCACCTCTAAGGGCACAGACTCACATGATTATTTATGCTACACACCACCTGAAAGATAACACTGTTACCCAGCCTCGAGCTGGACTTCATACCGGTGAGATAAGCAATCCTGCCAGTTCTCCACCCATGTTATTATCCACTTATCCGGTCTACATCTTGTCAGTTTAACTATACCAAAAGCATGGGAGGTGGTATAAAAGACCTTGTTGAATCAAATTAAATGCCATCTAATGCTCTTCCCTTGCCCACAGATCCATCTATCGCAGAGGGCAACCTCATTCACTTTGCAATTATAGAGGAGGTGGCAGCTATCAGGATGTTCAAGGATTAAACATGCCTTCACCTTTTCACAAACCAGATTAAACGATACATGAGTCCCTCTAAGGCCTCTGCAGGGCTGAAAAGCCAAAGGTTCCCCCAGAAAAACGAAAAAAAGCCTAGTTTCCTAATACACACCCAAAAAGCAGTCCCTAGTCATAGGCAAAGTTCTAATGACACCTCATCCAAAAGGCTTAAGACTATCAGATTATTTTGCTGGTTTTAGAACATTTTCCCTAACATCACCATAATTAAAATATCATAATTTCACAGCTTTTTTCTACCTATATCAATAAATAAAATTGCCATCAGATGACAATTCATTTTTCTTTCTGCTAAAAAACCTCCTTTTTTCTAAAACCTATACTTCTTAATCACTACATATTTAATGAAAAATATTATAAACCACAAACTTCACTCATTTTTATATAACTAAAGGAGAACAAAGACAGGTGGTCATGGGCTTAACTGAAGCATGGAGGCTATGCAACTCCTGCTAACAAAGGAGATGACAGACTTCATACAACATAAAAGTCTCATTCAAATTGCTTTTTTGGAGAGAGAAGCAATGGGTGAGGGTTTTTTGTTGATGTTGTTATTAATTTTTTTATTATTATTTATTTCTAAGAAGATTTAAAAAGAAGGAAAGAAGAAGGAAGAAAAAAGATTTGTGTCATAGTCAGGCTCTTCTGGCAGCATACCTGGAGGTATGGCACAGCCAACAGCGCATGTGCACAGCGCAGAATGGTATACATAGGCATCACAAAACACACCCAGAAGAATCTGCTGGTCCACTAACAGCACAGCCAGAGCCACTTTCATACCACAGACTCCTCAAGGGATATGCTCCTATGCAAAACCAAGTACCAAATGAAAAAAAAAAACACGTAGCTCATTTGACTCTCAAGCTCTCTGGCAAAAAGAAGGTACCGTTGATCAGTGCAAGAACAGAAAGTTTTGCTTTTGAGGGATGTACTACCAATACTCAGTAAGTTCTTTTGCATCTAATGCAGAAAACTGAGGAATAACTAATTCTGAAACTGACCCAGCAATTCAGCATGCTAAAGTCCCTCGCACATGCTCACTTCGAGGAAGATAATAAAAGGAGTATTTTTCCTTCGCAAGCTAAATCTTCGTTTGGATCGCAGCCACGGGTACACAGTACTTTGCGCTGTGAAACATTTCCTCAGAGAGCACAGAGCATGCTTCCTTGTCAGAAAAACAAACTCCACAGCATTCATGCTCCACCCCACCAACAACTTGGAATAAGTCTGAGTCCAGCATCAGCATCTGGAAGCCACATTTAGACTGACTCTCCCTCCAACCTTTGCTGGTTAACAACCCCACATTTGTGCAGCATATCTTCTTTCCCTCCCATTGCTCACTTTTCACACCGTTCCCCTCTTCAGGTTGCCCAAAGGCCCAGAGACACCTAAAGGCAATGGCACACCCTACAACCCCCCCCCCCCCACACCCAAGCCAGCCACGCTGCAACCACCCAAGCACCTCACCAGCACTGGCCCCTCCAGCAAAGCCCCACACAATTCAGGGACATCCCCCCCCCCCATACCTGGGCTACAGCATAAGCTGCCCTTACCTTCTCCCCTCCGCTCCATGAGCAGAGTATTTCCCAGCACAGGATAGCAGGGGCTGACACCCGGTATAGGCTTCAGCACCCACCATCGCCTCCAGTAACCCATCAAGGAGGGCAGGGAGCTCACAGCCACAACTGCCGACAGCAGAGCAATGACCCCAGCCCCCAACTGCAGCAGCTGGGGTCCCCCGCCAGCTCCCTGCATGACCCCCATCATCACCTCCCAGCCTCCTGCTGCAGTCCTTGATCCCTACTGGGGAACGAGCGCCGCCGGTACTCCCGTACTCGGCTTTGCCGGTACCCAGCTGAGTGCGCCAGGACCAAGGCACCGGAACAGGAGGCGGAGCTGTCACACATGCCCTGGGGGCAGCTTCCTGCCGGGAAAATAAACAGGGATCTAAAAAACACGTGTGTGGAGAGGCTGCCTGCAAGCACTGCCTGACAGCAGAACAGCCACAGGGAACAGTACTGTCTCCCTGCCCTCACTCGGTTCCTCTGACTCAAGTGAAGAATGAGGAAGTTCTTTGCAGGCCTGTGCAATGTCACAGAAAGAAAAGACACAAACTGCTGCCAAGAGAAAAAAAAACACCTTTTTGTTGCTTTGGAAAGGATGGGTTTTCCCAACATCATGTCTCTACATCTGTTTGCAGGTGCTCAGGGAACACCATTTTGCCATACATAACTGCTCCAGTGATCTTCAACATGATGCCTGAAGGGTTTCAAGTGCTTCAGATGGGGAGTACCTTCCCTCAGTTGGGTGGATGGCTTCAGTGGTTTACACAAACCAGAGCCCATATAGACCCACAATCAAGGGCACCACTGCAAAGCATGTTCATGCTTCATGGCTCCAATAGGCTTCACTGATCTCACTGTTGAATGCTCAATCACAGGCTAAGGATGTCAGTAACACAACTGGTAGCACCAGCACCTGTGCCACAACTTGCAAAGTGCCTGGGCAGTGATGCCATACACACCATAGGCCCTGCTGCCCTTCCTGCTTCAGGAGGATCCAAAGTCTCTTACTGCTGCAGGGCTGCTGATTACCTGCTCCTCAAAGCCTCCAGTGCTCAAAAAGTCCTTGTGACCAAACAGAAGTTTGGTGAAAAAGACACTGTGACTTCATTCCCTGAATATACCACAGAAGTTTCTTACAGCCACGGTCACGTATCTGCCATCTGCTTTGTACCAAAATCGACTGCACTGACTGCACTGGCATTTTTAGTAAACCAACAGCAACGACCTTAAGGGAAGAAACACAGAGAAAGCTCAGAACATCAAAAGTAAAAACATCAGAGTAAATTTGGGCACTTTGTTCCTGCAGTTTCCCAGCAAACACTTCATCATAAATACTGACTGTTGCAATTTTTTGCAATGTAAACAGCTGGAAATTAACTCTCTCATACTTGCTGTTATTTGTAATGCTTTATGACAGAAAGTAGCAGATACATACCCTGTCTTGCTAACACATAAAGTAAGCTATGTGCCATCAGTCCCCTCTTTTGTTCAGGTGACATCCCAGGAAGGAAGCATGCATGCAGGATTAACAGGCTCACCTTTTGTAGTGATCAACTGAGTAATTATGCTCTCTTCTTTATAAAAAAACTTGCAGTTTGTTGCCTTCATGAAGCTGATAACTAGATGAAGTTGTTAATTGTGATTCTGAGTCAAAATCTGTGTTTCTAACTGCTCATAACTCCTTCTGTAGGAAAAAAAAATGAGGAACAGTGAAACAGCAGGGACAGGGTGAAAAAATCACAGGGAAAGCAGTAGGGAACATATCGGAACAAACATTGCAAAATCCTGTCAGCAGCTGGCAGTGGTAATGCTGCTAACAAAAGGCAGCAACTGTACTGGAATGAGGTACCCAAGAAAGAAGAAATGAGAGGTCTGGTATATGTGAGGCCTAATTACATCACTGAGACTTGCAATCATTACAAACCTTGGAGGATGTTCTGTAGGAGAGGAGTTTTCTACCAGATTGTGATTGGCACTCCTTTTTCACATGGAGAGCTACTTGCTCAGTGTTGAATTTCAGTTTGTGAATCTTTGCTTTTATAAATGCATTTAACAGAACAAATCTGTTTTTACTCAGCCTTTCACCTAAGTGGAAAGCCTACCTGCCCATGCTAACAGAAGGCATGCATTCTGTCAGGCTATGTCAGTCCACAGGCACAGTGGCAACACAGACTTCTGCTGGTCCCTAGAATGCACATCTGGATTCTTTGATAAAGAAATCAACAAAGTGTTCATTGCCAGCAAGAAAAAGATCTAAAGCAAGGCTAAAATGAATGTGATACGACACAAGAACAAGAGTACACAACACATTCTGAAAAACTGTGATGTGCTCTTTACATTAGTTCTTTGCTCCAGCCAAGGCAAACCATGTTATCATCCCTTGCAAAACACACAGCACCTGCACTAAGCAAGAATAACCAGTTACTAACTTAGCAATCACATTTAATTTGCAGTTAGGAAGGGTTTTCTTAGAAACATGATTAAACTTTCTACATGATTTACTTGCACTGAAAAAGAAGTGCCAGATGATGAACAACTGTTCACTGTGTGGTCCCACTTCTGCCATTACAGAACCAAACCACTGCATATTCTTCATTTAGTCCACAATGTAAGAAGTGCCATAGATTTTAAGGGACACATATTGCCCTTGCTCCTTTGCATTTTTGTCAATACATAGTACAGGCAGGAGCACTTATGAGAGCAAAAGTGTATTTTGGACAAACCGCTGAAGATGATGGTGCAAATTTCAAACATTATGTTATCTTTGACCTGAGATTTTTGAAGAAACTGCATCAAACTGACCTGCAACTGTATGAAATCAACCTGCAACTTCAAAGCAAAAGCATTCTACTTTCTCAGATACTATACCATAATATCACCAGTGAGTAAACTTAGCATAGCCAAAAAAAAAACTAAGCCAAGAAAATAATTTAAAAATGCTTTCATTTACTCAAAAGAATGAAGCACTTGATGACCATTTAAAAAACCAGAACTCTTATTAACAGTACAGAAATAAAACATACATTACAGATGCTTTTCCTTACATTACCAGTGCTTGAAAATTCATAAAAAAGGTGTGAGGAGAAATGGTATTAGTTCCCAAGCAGAAGAAACTGTTCCTGTTTTTAACTGCACAATTTGAGCAAATAATTGTTTCTTCTCCTTCCTTTCGCTTTCAACAGCTCTTAAACACATCTACTTAAACTGCTGTCTTTCTGATGGACAGAGAAATTCCTGACTGTGAATGCACTAAGTGCTATTAGCCAGGGACCTGATCAGGGCTGTGATCTCTGGGAAGAATGCAGTCCCAGTCTCCTCTTTGATCTTCCTGTCTGGGTCTACACAAAGAGGTATAAATAATGCGTTCATCAGTTAAGTACATATTTTTGTGTTAAAACTCTGAAGGCTTGGATATTTCAAAATATGATTAATTTGCCCAGTAACAGTCACTATTTTATATGGAATGTCAACAAGTAGGAAAAGTCTTACCAACTTGTTAGTATGCAGGTTCAATTGCTCAGCATCTACAAATATGTTTGGCCTAGCAGGGAAAACATTACTTCCTCTAAACAAAGTTTATCCCAGCAGTTCCCATAGTTAACTGACAATTAAAACAGCATAAGTAGAAGCAATGAATTAATATAATCTCGAATTAAAGGAAAGAGAAAAATTTGGGATAGACAACGTTTACAAGAGAGCAACTGCAGTAAGTAGACAGACTGAAAAATGGAGTAATGCTAAAACAGAAGTTCAGATAATATACCGCAAACTCCTGTTTAAAGGTACATATTTTATGTATGACTGCTATTTGGATAGACTAGAACATCTTGAACAGTGAGGAAACACAAAAAAAGTGGGAACAGGACTTCATGGTCTGAACATAACTTATTTGCTTCTATGGGAAGAATAACAATTCCCTAAGGAAGGACAGAAAAAGGAGGAATGCCTGAGGAGAAAGTGCAGCAGTAGCAGCATCTTGATGCTGCAGAGTGGACACCTCAACCATTTATTTCATTTTGCTCTGATTTTTAATCTAACCTCTGGTCAGACAGCTTTCAAAGAAGGCAAAGCAGGCATCCTGAGAATTGAAAGGCTCAGCAGAAACCAGCATACTGCACATGTTCTTTGTTACACAAGATACTAGCTGGCAAATTTAGCAGTTCAATCTTCCATTCAGTGCAGAAAGGTTCCATTTCTTCCTAAGATGGGTTAAAAAGCAGCCTGAAATCTCTTCCTAGAGGTTGGAGGATTTATCCAAAAGGATCTGTACTAATGCTGTAAGCCTAGAAAAGATAAAATATTGTTTGTTAATTGTGGCAGAATCTGAAAGATGCTTCAAGATTGCATGAGAGATACTTCTATCAGCCTGCTTAGATCAATGTTTGCTAACTCACCCTTATTCTTACATTTTCTATAATTATGCAAATCATATCATTATTTAAACTTAAGGAACTTCCAAACAAACAAAAATTACATACATTACACTCAAATATCTCAGGAACTTGACAGTCAGCTTTATTGTAACCATGGAACTAAATAAACCACACAGGACTGCTCAATTTTTCAGTGTTATAAATGAAAGTTGCAAATCAGTATTTATTTTCTCATTTATTTTTCTACTTATGATAAAAATGCAAATTTTCATTTTCATTTTATCCCACATTAAAAAGTTGACTCAGTGAATTTATATGGGGCCTAAAATAAAATTTTTGTCATTAAACAGTTCTAATATGTATCCGAGTTACTACTCTAGCAGCTGCAAAACATCTAGACTGTGTACCATATACTCTTCCCATAACTGTAAATATGCTGAAATCTTTAAAAAAATATAGATACTGAGGGGGAATCCTTTACCTTCCACATCATAAGAATGAAACAAAGATTTGCAGGATTCCTAACAGTCAAGAGTAGGGATGTCTCATACAAGTAAGAAGGAACTTGAAAACCAAACTCAAAAGGTCTTGCACAAAGCACACCTGTTGTTCTTTGATGCCAAGATGGCTCTTCCTGAGCACTTCTTGACTGTACGAGGGATTAATAGGTTTTGCTGGTCTTTTGCCTTCCAAGCTGTTCTTCCTTTGCCTGCCTATTAAAAATCGTTGACCTGTCCCTCTGTGGTTAGCAAAATCCATGGGAGTCAGTGATCTCTTCTGAGGTGTGCCTGTCTGTAAAATGGAAAGACGTATGTCCTGAGTTCAGCAGTAGCAGTCATTTTTTTTTCCTTCTTAGTAGCTTGTGCAGTGCTGTGTTTTGACTTCCAGCCTGGGAACAGCACTGATAACACCGATGTTTTTAGTTGCTGCTCAGTAATGTTTACCCTGACC